CTCTCTTCTTTTTGATAACATCTTTCATAACCTGGAAAAGAAAATTAGGAAATTAAAAATAGTTTACATTATTTCAGCCTGAATTGGGTACCAGGTAAAGCCCTGGGAAGTCATGACAGCCGGGGTGATGTTTACATCACCCACCAAGTGCTAAATATAGGTCTAGCCCTATATGCCCAATACACTGAAGATGTGGAAAAAAAATCCTTTATTTTTTCTACATTATTTCAGCAGACAATAAAGACCTCTTATTTCTTCTTCTTCATTTGTTTACCCAAGAAACATTTCAGTGAAACACCCATTGATAAACTCAGCAGGAGATCAGAGCACTCATGGTCATGTCTGATGTGCAATGGATAAACTCAGCAGGAGATCAGAGCACTCATGGTCATGTCCGATGTGCAATGGATAAACTCAGCAGGAGATCAGAGCACTCATGGTCATATCTGATGTGCAATGGATAAACTCAGCAGGAGATCAGAGCACTCATAGATAAACTCAGCAGGAGATCAGAACACTCATGGATAAACTCAGCAGGAGATCAGAGCACTCATGGATAAACTCAGCAAGAGATCAGAGCACTCATGGATAAACTCAGCAGGAGATCAGAGCACTCATGGATAAACTCAGCAGGAGATCAGAGCACTCATGGATAAACTCAGCAGGAGATAGAGCACTCATGGATAAACTCAGCAGGAGATCAGAGCACTCATAGATAAACTCAGCAGGAGATAAGAACACTCATGGATAAACTCAGCAGGAGATCAGAACACTCATGGATAAACTCAGCAGGAGATCAGAGCACTCATGGATAAACTCAGCAGGAGATCAGAGCACTCATGGATAAACTCAGCAGGAGATCAGAGCACTCATGGATAAACTCAGCAGGAGATCAGAGCACTCATGGATAAACTCAGCAGGAGATCAGAGCACATCATGGATAAACTCAGCAGGAGATCAGAACACTCATGGATAAACTCAGCAGGAGATCAGAGCACTCACTAGATAAACTCAGCAGGAGATCAGAACACTCATGGATAAAAACTCAGCAGGAGATCAGAGCACTCATGGATAAACTCAGCAGGAGATCAGAGCACTCATGGATAAACTCAGCAGGAGATCAGAGCACTCATGGATAAACTCAGCAGGAGATAGAGCACTCCTGGATAAACTCAGCAGGAGATCAGAGCACTCATGGATAAACTCAGCAAGAGATCAGAACACTCATGGAAAAACTCAGCAGGAGATCAGAACACTCATGGATAAACCCAGCAGGAGATCAGAGCACTCATGGATAAACTCAGCAGGAGATCAGAGCAACTCATTGATAAACTCAGCAGGAGATCAGAGCACTCATGCTTCATAGTTTAACTCAGCAGGAGATCAGCGAGCACTCATGGATAAACTCAGCAGGTGAGGATCAGAACACTCATCGGATAAACTCAGCAGGAGATCAGAACACTCATGGATAAAACTCAGCAGGAGATCAGAGCACTCATGGATAAATTCAGCAGGAGATAGAGCACTCATGGATAAACTCAGCAGGAGATCAGAGCACTCATAGATAAACTCAGCAGGAGATCAGAACACTCATGGATAAACTCAGCAGGAGATCAGAACACTCATGGATCAACTCAGCAGGAGATCAGAGCACTCATGGATAAACTCAGCAGGAGATCAGAGCACTCATGGATAAACTCAGCAGGAGATCAGAGCACTCATGGATAAACTCAGCAGGAGATCAGAGCACTCATGGATAAACTCAGCAGGAGATCAGAACACTCATGGATAAACTCAGCAGGAGATCAGAACACTCATGGATAAACTCAGCAGGAGATCAGAGCACTCATGGATAAACTCAGCAGGAGATCAGAGCACTCATGGTCATGTCCGATGTGCAATGAAGATGATCTCAAAAATTAACATGCAAATAAAACAAGATTTATTGTTCACTCATCCTCATCCAAATACAGGAGCTCTTACTCTCATCTTTCTCTCTCTCTCTCTCTCTCTTTCATAAACCCTCCCTCGCCCATACATACAGAAACACTTGTACGCAAACACACTGTATATGAGTAATGAAAAAAAAATGTATAATAAACACCCCGATGCTGCTACGTATGTTAGTGTGTCTTATGTTGCCTTTTTTTTTACTGGGTAAAGCTGGGGTGACCATCCCCAACCCAGCGCGTCCACTGGTGGCGGTTTGTGGAACAGCCTCTAGATATATAGCTTAGCTGTGGATACCCAATAAGCAGCCGCGGACCAACTGGCGGTGGGCACAGAGGGCGAGGCGGCATTTCAGGGTGGGATCTGAAATCCTTATAAAATACCTCATATGCTTGGAGACGTGCCTGCCAAGCGGGTCGGGGCGCTAAAACCCTTTCCCCGGGTAGGTGGAACCCGTTATCTTTGGACAGCAGTCCATTTAGGAGACGGCAAACTCCGAATATAAACCCTCAAGTTCAAGGTGGGCCAACGTGTTGAGAAACTGGATTGCCACAGGTGAGCTGGTCGTGAACGTTGGACGTCTGGTGGGCGTGCGGGATAGCACCAGGCATATGGACCCCTACGGGGCATCCATTGCCCCTTCGCTAGCAGGCAGGCAATACTAGGGTGGCCAGTTATTTCCTGCAGTATTCTTTTTTTTTTTCGCATATGGATTTTTAAAATATACATAGGAATCGTCGCAGGAGCTATGGAGCATGTGCTCTGGGCATTTTTCAGCAGTTCGTGAAGAGAGAATGAGGAGGAGACGACCAGGGCATGGGGAGAGATGAAGGCATAGAAATAGGAGGGAAGGTGCTAGGAGAACAAGATGAAAAGCAGAGAGATTGGGCTTCAATCATGTAAGAGCAGGATACTGGAACTGTCGGCGTGCTAGGCAGAGAGGTCCTGTACTGGAGAGGTTGATTTTTTATTTTGAATTCATCATGCTCCAAGAGCTAAACACAGATAGATATCATTGCCCTGTGTACGTTAGTTAAATAAACCCTGTTGGACAGGAGAGACATGGACAGGGTCTGGTGGTAAAGGAAGGAGTGAAGCATGTGTTGCTTGACTTGAGCCAGTGGAACCACAGTGGAAGAGAGGTTCAAGGGATACAGATGGAGACTGGTGGTTTAGGTTGGAACCTCATAAATATATATGCAACGGTTGACTGTTTTGTCAGAAGTGAACAATGGGGCGGGCTCAAGGAACTGGAGCAGTTACCAGATGAAAGGTTACTCATATTTGGGATTTTCAACACAAGGAACAGAGAATGGGACAGCAGTGGAGAAAACCGACAGGGAACTGCTCTTGCAGAGGCCATGGTTGACGCCGATATGGTATGCATCAATGATGAGGGGCCAATTAGGATGGCAATGAGGTCTGGCGATGCAGACTCAGACATTGACTTGACATATGTCTCCCAGTCGTTGGTTTTAGATGTTAAATGGACTGTCCTGAATGACCATAGGAGTGATCACCTACCATATTCAGTCCTGATTTCTAAACCCAGTAAGGTTAAGGCTGGGAGAGCACGCAAGACCTTCCGGTATAAGAGGACCAACAACCTACTTGGACGCCTCAGACAGGAAGCATGCAACAGAACTGCCAGAACTAATTTTCTACAACCCCCATGGTGGACTCCAGAAGTAGAACAGGTGTGGAAGGCAAAGAGGTTTTCAAGCACTGAGCTGCACAGGCCAAAAGAGCAAAGTAACAGTGCTGCAGGACTGGGTGCACAGCTACCTAATCCCACCACAAAAACCTTTCAAGGATCATTCAAAGCTCAGTAGCTTTAGAATCATCACCTTACAAAACACATTTGGGAAGGTCTTGGAGAAGATAGTTGCTGTAAAGCTGCAAGAATTTTGGGAAAGGGGAAAGCTTCTCCCAAGAGGTCTGGGAAGTTAAAGGCCAGGAAAGGACACATGGGAAAATGCGGCCACTTTTGCTTTTGACATCTATGAAGGGTTCCAGAACAGACAGGTAACTATGGCGGTAGCACTGGATCTCAAGGAGGCTTATAACAGAGTAAAATATGACATCTTGACTGCACTGAAGGAGAAAGAGGTCAGTCCATGGATGGTGAATTGGATTGCAGCTGTCCTGTATTCACATCGGGTTTCTCTTCGACTGTTCTCATGGACCTCAGAACCATGAAGTTTGGCCTCAGGACTGCCACAGGGATCTGTCATCTCACCTGTGCTCTTTAATGTGTATACAAGCAAGATTGCAAGCCTAGAAGCACCAGGAGTTGGAAGGAAACTGACTTTTGCTGACGAAATACTTGCATATAGGCAGGGGGAAGAGAGGGAACAAACAGCCCGGGAGCTACAAGCAACAGTAGACAAAGTGACTGAGTGTACAGCAATGAGGGCTGTCGTCCACCTGGAAAAGACATCTGTTTTGTGGTGTTCTCTGGACAACAGTATCGTTAAAGCTAATGTTCTAAGTCTCACGATAGATGGTAGAAACATCAACAGAGAGAGCAAACTGAAGCATCTAGGAATTACATTTGACAGGAGCCTGTCATTTAAGGACCATGTAGAGAGTGTTGTAACAAGATGCCAAAAAGGACAGTGCACTTAAGACTATGGCTGCAATTGACATAGAGCAGAGAATAGAGCAGCTTGGTGGAAAACTGATGCATGATAAGGAAGGCAGACGTGGTTAGTGCCTTGTGGGAGAGCATGTACAATTCGGAGGAGCAGGTGGATCACCACAGTCTGGTGAGACTGATGCAGATTCTGGCAGATCCTTGAGGCACAGAGGAAAGGCAAGACGGGCGTTTAATCAGAATGCTACTGGCACTATTAGTATCGGAACTTTTCGCTGGCTGCTGAAGATGGGGACAGAGCACTAATGGGAATGCCCCGAGTGCTGTGATGTCAGTTTTTGAATCAAATCAAATCGATGTTGCTTTTTTCTGGGTGGGGAGGGGTATTGCCATGTGCCCTAATCTCATCTTTAAAAGCTACAAAAAGTGCCCTTTTTGAGGGCATGAGTAGCAATCAGAAAGTGTCAAATGAGCTAAACCTTACCTCTCTAATGTCATCAATATGCAGCAGTGTGTTAAATTCCATCAACTGGCTCAGCTGCTCAAAGTTCTTGTGTGCATATGTGAAGTTAAATGTAGAGTATGGTGCTTTCGGATCATCAAAAATATCAAAATCTGCAAAATTAAATTCTTCTTTGGTCTCTCTTGGAATGCCTATGAAAAAAAAAAGATTTGATTAAAACAAACATACCAAATTACAGGATAATTATATAACTAGAATACATTTAAACATTTAAATATGTTTCGTTTGTCTCTGTGGGATTCCCACAACAATTTTAAGGGGTGTTATTTGTTGAGCTAAGAAAGATGATTTAACAAACACCCTATTTATCAGACAGATGGGCAAAAATATAAATTCAGCTAAAATAAATTAACCTTTTCTTTGGTCTCTTTTCAAATTTCTGGGTTTAAAAAAAATTTTAGTGTGGTTATGTGTTGAGGTGAGACAAGAGATTATAACAAACACCACTCAAATTATTATGTATGTAAACAAAAAGAATACATTAAAAAAAAAAAAACAATTATAGTTTTCCTGGAATTCCTGTACAAATCTGAAGCACTCTTACGTGTGGAGGTAAGATAAGAGCAAACCCACCCAGATACAAGATATAAAAATAAATAACTCTAAATGCCACCTAATAAACACAGCTGTTATAGTCAGTGGAAGCTGTGGTGGCTTTGTGGTTGGTATTGTTGTCTGCAAAGACAGTGGTTTAGGCTCAAACCCCTGCAGAGGAAGGAATATGTTTTTTTGTCTCAGCCAGTACTTCTTTTGGCTCAACCCATTCTCACAAAAACTGATGCTTTCAGTTTTCAGAATTGTGTGGTAAAAAAATGTACATTTATCATAAGCCAACAGATCTTCACTATCTGGTTGTTTTTGCCTTTGCTCATGTCAATAAAACATTCAGATATTACAAGAAGCCAGGACAATTACGGTCTGTGGGGGGATGAAAAATATACATTCTGAAAACTCAGGGTATCCATCTTTATGAGATTGGGTTGACAACTTCCCTCTTCTCCCCCCCCCCCACCCCAAGCCATGGCCAAGAATATGCAAACGCTTAACAATTCACACTCTAGAGACAATTACTGCAATCAGACTACTTACTCCTCACCTAGTAAAAAAAAAAAATTTGAAGAACAACAAAAACTGTTGTATTGAAATGCAAACTTTCGCTAAGAACTTTCAGTGCAGGATAGGGCTAAAGTGGAAAGACAGAATCAACAATGAAAATCTACTGGGCAGAGCTATGCAACTTCCAGTGAATCAGAGAGTTAGGAAAATGCCATATTCACCACCATTAGACCTATATTTGCAGCACCTAAACCTTATTCACAACCCACAAGCCCTGACTGAAAGCATTTAGATCCATATTCACAGTCTCTAGACCCATATCCACACCCCCCCCCCCCTTCGTAAATCCAAAGCCCCTAGATACATTTTCAAAGCCCTTAGACACATGTTCAAAGCTCCTAGACACATATTCAAAGCTCCTAGACACATATTCAAAGCTCCTAGACACATATTCAAAGCTCCTAGACACATATTCAAAGCCCCTAGACACATATTCAAAGCTCCTAGACACATATTCAAAGCCCCTAGACACATATTCAAAGCCCTCAGACACATATTCAAAGCCCCTAGACACGTATTCAAAGCCCCTAGACACATATTCAAAGCCTCTAGACACATATTCAAAGCCCCTAGACACATATTCAAAGCCCCTAGACACATATTCAAAGCCCCTAGACACATATTCAAAGCCCCTAGACACATATTCAAAGCCCCTAGACACGTATTCAAAGCCCCTAGACACATATTCAAAGCCCCTAGACGCGTATTCAAAGCCCCTAGACCAGAGATTTTCAACTGGCGGCTGACGGGCCAAATCTGGCCTGTGGAGGCCTAGCAAGTGGATCATTGCCAAGTTTATTGTATTAATGATCTTTCTACAGTGAGACTCGGGCAAGCGGCCCATAACAATCACAACTATCAACATTTTGGCCAGTGAGTGAACTTACTTGAATAGCCCTGACCTAGACACTTTTTCAAAGCCTCTAGACACATATTCAAAGCCTCTAGACACATATTCAAAGCCCCTAGACACATATTTATAATCACAGCCAACAATGTAAGAAAACTCATGTTCTTTGGCAAGATCTATAGCTTACCGGGCTTCTTGTAGTATCTGAATGTTTTGTTGACAAGAACAAAGTGAAAAACAACAGGACAGTGCGGATCTGTGGGGTGACGGAAGATGTACAGCTCTTTCATCCCTTCCCTGTCAAACACAGCTGTATCAATAGGTGGAAATGGTAGTCTGTTCAGTCTTGCCCATTTTTCTGCCAGTAACAGTTCCTGGTAAAACAAAACAAAAATAAACTACAAGAATTAATATTAATTAGTCATATTGTAATAATGGTGAAATATTTCCCAAACGTTTATAATGCATGTATCCTTAATGTTGTTTAAGATAACCATAATGAGTGCTCTATAAATGAAAAATCATAGGAAAGGAGAGAGATATGACAGGAAGAATCATAAATGGCCTGCTGATTCTTTTGAATTTGAAAAAAAAGTGTTTGTTTCTTTGTTCATTCTTATATTCAATTTTTTTAAAGCCTGATTTAAAAAAACAAAAAAGTTACCTAAGCTGCCAGGTAGTCTGAGTAATTTGTTGAAGTATTCTCAAATTATCAAACCTATGAGGGTACATGACAAGGTTTCATTACATGGCACAGGAAAGTACTGACCTTGAAAGGCGGAGCATTGTCAGAGTCTCTAGCACTAAAGTCAAATGACAGGATAATATCAACCTCCCTTTGAGGTCGCAGCACTAAAGGGAATGGAGAGTTGAAGGTCAGACCAGCATCAACCATATAGATGTGTTTGACGCTCGTGGAATGCATCTCAAAGTTACCTGCATGAAGTTGAACATAACATGCACATTATTATTATTATCATCTAATAAGAGCTGAGAATAAAAGACTGAACAAGAACTTGATTAATCAACATCAAAGCCAATCTTCAGATTAATTTATCTATTCAATAAAAGATCCGAAGCTATCAACAAATCTTTTTCACTGTTTTCTTCAATCTTTTTCCTTTCAATATGTTACAGTAATATTCAAATGGCATTCTGTTTGATTAAAGAAGTGGCAGACCTGTTTACATTCTTGATGATCTAGTGCAAGCCTTCCTGTTGGAGGTCTGTCAGATCATTAACAAAAAAAAACCTCAATACCAGAATGTATTTGAATTATTTCTGTGATTTGTTTGTTTGTTTATAAATGATACATTCTTTAGTATGACTATTAAAAGTATAGGGCCGGTGGCAGACTTTCAAAATCAGAAGGGTCAACAGGTCTTAGTTAAGTGGAATCACTGATACAGACATCTATTTAGTCTAGTGTAAAACATCGAAAGTTAACTCCATGGTAGACACTGTTGTATGGGTATCCTGCAATACAATCTTATAATATATTCACTTAATGTATGTTGATATGTAGCTGATTTATTCACCAGCTTTCTCTCTTTCATGGCAAAACTGTTTTTATAAGACTGAGTCAACCCCAGAGCAGTGAAAGGTTAGGAAAAAAAATGGTGGGGTGGGGGGGGGGGGGATAACTGCTTAGTTAAGTCAGAATATAGAATTTTGTAACTTTTTGCCATTGCAATATTGATACTGATGTCATTGTAAAGCGGGGCATTGTTAAACTCCATTAAATGAACATTTTAACAGCAGGAGACTGACACAGAGTGAAGATTATCAGCAAAAAGAATTCAGTACACATTACCACTACACAAACAGCATGAAACTGTAATACATTACCACACAGACTAAACATTAATACAGCAAGAACATTTAATATACTAACCACACAAACTAAACATAAACACAGCAAGAGATGGAAATACACTACCACACAAACTAAACATAAACACAGCAAGAGATGGAAATACACTACCACACAAACCTAACATTACAACAGCAAGAGATGGAAATACACTACCACACAAACTAAACATAAACACAGCAAGAGATGGAAATACACTACCACACAAACCTAACAATAACACAGCAAGAGATGGAAATACACTACCACACAAACCTAACATTACAACAGCAAGAGATGGAAATACACTACCACACAAACTAAACATAAACACAGCAAGAGATGGAAATACACTACCACACAAACCTAACATTACAACAGCAAGAGATGGAAATACACTACCACACAAACCTAACATTACAACAGCAAGAGATGGAAAAACACTACCATACAAACTAAACATGAACACAGCAAGAGATGGAAATACACTACCACACAAACCTAACAATAACACAGCAAGAAAATGTAATACACTACTGCATGACAGAACATTAACGCAGCAGAAGTAATAGACTACCCTACAGATTAAAACCTGCACATGTAAGAGCATACCATCAAATTCATCTCCTGCCTTGACCCTGTTTTCAACTGGTGTAAAGGGTGAAAGAGGGTACGTCTGTTGCAAAGAGAGGCCACGCATAAAGTTGTGTATGACAGCTGCCCTTCCTCGTCGTGTGCTCAGAAGTTCCCATGAGTTTCTACAGATAATTGAGGTATATTAATACATTACCTTTTAATCACAGTCTCAGTGGACTAATTTTAGAAATACCATGTTAAATTAAACAATTATGCATAAATTTTCTTCCTCTTCTTCTTCTTCCTCTTCTTATTTTTATTGTTTCTTCTTCTTATTTTTCTTCTTTCTTCTTTGTCTTCTTCTTCTTCTTCTTCTTCTTCTTCTTCTTCTTCTTCTTCTTCTTCTTCTTCTTCTTCTTCTTCTTCTTCTTCTTCTTCTTCTTCTTCTTCTTCTTCTTCTTCTTCTTCTTCTTCTTCTTCTTCTTCTTCTTCTTCTTCTTCTTCTTCTTCTTCTTCTTTTTCTTCTAGTCTTTACTATTTTTTCCCCCAATGGAGCAATGGCTCTCAACCAACTCATGCCAGCTCTCTTGCTCCCTTTTCTATGTGTATCTTGGTTTGCCTTTATTTCTATGCCCCTGAGGGTTCCAGTGTAAGCAGTTCAGTTGCTGGTGATAATATTACATCACCAAATTAGTCTGACAACGCAGGGTGTTGTGCAGTCAACAGCTGTAGTTGACTGCCCTGTCCGCCCCCCCCCCCCCCCCCTTACAACACCTACAACCGAACATTTATGTGAACACGTAACAACAGAACATTTAAGCGAACACCTAACAACTGAACATTTATGCGAACACCTAACAACTGAACATTTATGTGAACACCTAACAACTGAACATTTATGTGAACACCTAACAACTGAACATTTATGCGAACACCTAACAACTGAACATTTATGTGAACACCTAACAACTGAACATTTATGTGAACACCTAACAAAAGAACATTTATGCGAACACCTAACAACTGAACATTTATGTGAACACCTAACAAAAGAAAATTTATGTGAACACTTAACAACATAACATTTATGCAAACACCTAACAACAGAACATTTATGTGAACACTTAACAACATAACATTTATGTGAACACCTAACAACAGAACATTTATGCGAACACCTAACAACTGAACATTTATGTGAACACCCAACAACTGAACATTTATGTGAACACCTAACAACTGAACATTGTTGTGAACACCTAACAACAAAACATTTATGCGAACACCTAACAACTGAACATTTATGTGAACACCTAACAAAAGAAAATTTTTGTGAACACTTAACAACATAACATTTATGCAAACACCTAACAACAGAACATTTATGTGAACACTTAACAACAGAACATTTATGTGAACACCTAACAACAGAACATTTATGTGATTACCCAACAACAGAACATTTATGTGAACACTTAACAATAGAATATTTATGTGAACACCTAACAACAGAACATTTATGTGAACACCTAACAACAGAATATTTATGCGAACACCTAACAACAGAACATTTATGTGAACACTTAACAACAGAATATTTATGTGAACACCTAACAACAGAACATTTATGTGGACACCTAACAACAGAATATTTATGGGAACACCTAACAACAGAACATTTATGTGAACACCTAACAACAGAACATTTATGTAAACACCTAAAAAAAGAACATTTATGCGAACACCTAACAACAGAACATTTATGTGAACACCTAAAAAAAGAACATTTATGCCAACACCTAACAATAGAATATTTATTACCTACCCTTCAAAAACCTTTTTCAGAAGCTGATTCCAGTAACTCTTAGAGCCACTCCTAGACTTTCTCACAGAGGTTGCTGACCGGAAGGCCTGTCTCTTCTGCTTACTTTCCACATCCTCCCCTTTTTTTACCAGTGTGGGGCAGGTGCCCCAGTTGACAGACTTCTTCTGATCTTGTGTCTGGGCTGGTTCACTCGCCAAAACGTGGTACTTCTTATTAGCGGGAAAATGAGGATCTTCTATGTTCTCCTGTGTCGTGTCATTTTCTGGAGATGCAGAGTCTTTAGATGACTGGAGAGTTTGGCGAGCTCTTCTCATTTCAACACTGCCTCTTTTCTTTGCTTGAGAAAGGATTTTTCTCATTTCTGTCTCATCATCATCATCATAGTCTTCTTCATATTCACAATCCTCCTCTTCTCCTTCATAAGCTGAGTCATCTAGTTCATTCTCATCTGAGCCATCATGGTAGTCCTGTTCACTGTTTTCTATGCCACCATCCAAATCTTGACTTGCTTTCTCCTCCCCAGTTTTACTGTCCACAATCTTCACCCTAGCATTGCTTGTCTTTCTCTTACCATTATCTACGCTATCTGGGTGAGTGAACTTCTCAGAAGCTTTGTCATTATAAGGACAAATCTCAGATTCTCCACTGTCAGGTGGATGTTGGCCATTTTCAGGAGATTCGTTCTCACCATCTGTGCTGTCTGTGCTGTCATACACTTCATCATCACTGCAGTCGCTTGAACTCTCTTGGCCGGCTTCATCCAGCTGTTTCCCCATTTCCTGTCTAACCATCTCAACAGGATCAATACGACGATTGTCCTCTAACAAACGCTTGAACAAGATGCAGAAGGCACTGCCCCAGATACCTTATCAAGAAAGCAAAAAGTAAACTGTAAATCTTAAAAAAGGAAGCTAAATGTAAACTATAAATCTTAACAAGAAAGCAAAAATGTAAATTATACATTTAATAAACATAATTCTGAATCACTGTCACCAATTAAATATTGTAACCCTCCAATTTATGGATTATTTGAGGAAAGGGCATGTCTGATAAAGTCAAATGTCTTTAACCTTTTAAAGACAGAGCCTTTTTTTAGGAGTTTCAGGAGGGAATTCTCTTTACACACACACAAATTATAAAAAATAAAGCATTTAATGAACACATTTAAAACTATATATACATTTGTGCAGAAATTTTAATGGGCTAACAGAATATTTATGAATCAAACTTAAATCTCAACATTCATCAAATTAACTATTTTGATTTGTATAATTTATGCAAGCATTTTTATTTTTACTTGGGAACAAATATTATTAACCTAAAAAATCTGGGTGAATTCTTTTATGACTGAAACCCAAATAAGTCCTAACACATTTGTTTCGGGAAGTGAGGCCCATGGAGGCCCATCAGACACTTCTGGCACATGGTTCTATTCCTTTTCCTACCTCCTGCTCTGTTTCAGTTGCTATGACGCAACATTCCTTTTCACCATTGTTGGGCACAGGAAACCCCACAAAAAAATTGATGTAAAGTTAAAGAACACATGTGCAAGAAATGTGGGAATCAATCTGACTGGTTGGTATGAAAACCTACCAGCCAATCTCAAGGCTTGTATTATATAGGACTGACCGATTGGCCCATCCTTCCTTTTGGCTATTTTGTGTTAGGCAAATAAATCGGCCACATCATCTCCAAAAGGAGAAAAAGTAAATTCTTATTTTTAATTATTTTTACATATTTAAATAAAAGACAGATTTGTAAATATGCAGTTAACTTTAAACTGTGAATTGTAAGAAACCTACAATTATTTAATATGTAAAATTACAATTAAGGAATTGCGGAAACAATCTGAATACAAACAGAATGAACACCCTGTTTGCACTGTTTCTTTTACACCACTCCTCCAATTGTATTGCACAAAAGAACCATCACAGATGAATGAACATAGCTTCTGGAATGCAATTTTTTGTTATTTCGAAGCCACATCCTGGCTCTTGCCAGGAGCCGCAAACAGCCCGACCATAAATATGGTCTAATGGCTGAAAACGATTTCTGTGAGCTTTTCACGGGTGATCCTCATCCACATGGTGGCACTTTGTGTCATCGGGTGTTTATAGCTTGTGTGATGTCCTAGTGGGGCTGTACTACTACTACTATCACAGATAAACAAATTGTTTGCATTGCTTCTAATGTTTTCTTCTTCTGATGTCCTTTGCCCATTATCCCTCAGTGAAGCACAGGTCCTCAACCAACTTGCAACCAAGTCATGTATCATCATCTGCATCATCATCATGTGCCCTGCCAACTGGCGTAGGTGCTCATGTGTCTCCACAGATCACGATTCATGGTTGCATGGAACAGCTCTCTTGGTGATATCCCTCCATGCCATTGTTTTAGCCCATCCAACATCATCTCTCTTGGTGGGCCTCTACCCCTTTTACAACTGATCTTTCCAGTTGTCACGATGTTCTCCAATGTCTCTCTTCTCATGTGGCCCAAGAACAGTGTTTGTCCCTTTCTTATTGTTGTATACAGAGATCTACTTTCTTTGGCTTCTTTCAAGTAATCATTGTTAGTTATTCTGGCCGTCCAAGGTATTTATAACATTCTTCTCAGAAACCACGTCTCTGTTGCTTCCAAATTTTTCTGAATTTGTTCACTGTTCCAAGATTCACTGCCATTTATCAGAACAGGTTGAGTCATGTATTTAATTACATATTCCCATTTAACAAGCTGGTTGTCAGTCCAACTATGGAAACACTCTGGAGCTGTGCTAGTGCAATGGCTAGAGGCTTGTTTACAGGTCCACACATGATGGGTTTGAATCCACAATGAGGCTGATTTTTTATAACTGACCCAGTCTCTGGGTCAATCCAGCGTAAAATAGGTACCAGATGTCCTGAGAAGTAAACACGTCCTACATGTTGAATAAATTACCCACTGAGTGCTGTATATATATATATATATCAATATATATATATATATATATATATATATATATATATATATATATATATATATAGTTTATATATATATATATATATATATATATACATAAAGAACACACTCGGCTTACCTTGCAAGAAGTGAAGGGGCTGCTCCTTGTACTGCTTCACCAACTTGCCCATAAAGAACTTACTACCAAACAGCTCTGAGTCCATAAAAGTTCCATACTTTGGGAGACCTATCTCATAGGGAGAGAACTCCACCCACTCTGAAAATGGATCAGAATTACCAGTATACTGAATTCTCTTTATACTCATTGTATCTTCAGCTTTAATTGTGACCATGTAATTACCATTTTCTACATTTGTTTTTTTTTTACAGCAACATAATATGCCCTGTATATATGACATGAGTTTAAAAATAAATGTTTTCTTAAAATGTTTTACATTCGTTCTAAATACAGCCACTGACCATGTGTCTTGTTTTTATGTTGTGAGTTTCGAAATAAACATAGACTTAACATTTGTTTATCCTAGATGTATTTCACACTCATGGAATGCATCTCAAAAATATTTGTCTTCACTTTCTCTTTAACTTTTGTGTGTGGCTCTCTCTCTGTGTCTCTACCTCTTGCTCTATCTCCTTTTCCTCTTTCCGTGTACTCTTTATATTGTGTGGCATCACAAGGCATTCTCTATAAGTGTGCAAACCATTTGATTTGCTGTCTTTGTATGTAATTTAGAATTTGTTATGTGCCGACTTGATTTGATATCTAGTCACTCCTGCCACCCTTCTCCTACATCTCATTTTCATGGTTACTAATGTACTTTTCTGATTTATTTAAGTGACCATGTATCTCACAGATACCTACCTGAGGGTGAATATAAAATGCACATTATTATTACATTTATTTGCTGCATATAGGAGCCTGCTAGCAATCATCTAGCCAATACATCATCACAACATTCAAAACAGACTGAGGCAGAACTAAAACAAATACATGAAATAAAAATTAGAGTTAGTAAAGAATAATACGTCAAGGAGATGATGAAAAAAGAGTTTGAGTGCGATGACTGTGAGATAATGGGCACCAGCAGAAGAAGCTGTCCATTTCCAGGATTTCTCAATCCAGCTTGTACAACACATGATGGACGTCACGGCAAGCAACATTATACAGTTGTAGAACAGACATCAACAACATAACAATCATTAGATGTTATCTTCAAGAGACCAGTAATAAAAAAAAACTACACTCACCTTGAAATGACCTTGCAGGGACATCTTTCTTGACATGAACACATGTGTACAGAGGCATGGGAATGGTGCCGTCTTTAATCTTCTCTCGCTGGTCAGTAAGTGTTGTTTCCATTCTCTGCAAGTTAAAATAAAATTGTTTCATGATTTTCACTCGTTAAATACTCTAGTGTCAAATTTATGAGTGTGTGTGTGTCTGTGAGTGTGTTTGTGTGTGTGTGTGTGAGTGTGTGTGTGTGAGTGTGTGTGTACCAGTTATAACTCAGAATCCCTGTTATAACCCAAAATCCCAGTTATAACCCAAAATCCCAGTTATAACCCAAAATCCCAGTTATAACCCAAAATCCCAGTTATAACCCAGAATCCCAGTTATAACCCAAAATCCCAGTTATAACTCAGAATCCCTGTTATAACCCAAAATCCCAGTTATAACCCAGAATCCCAGTTATAACCCAAAATCCCAGTTATAACTCAGAATCCCTGTTATAACCCAAAATCCCAGTTATAACCCAGAATCCCAGTTATAAACCAAAATCCCAGTTATAACTCAGAATCCCTGTTATAACCCAAAATCCCAGTTATAACCCAGAATCCCAGTTATAAACCAAAATCCCAGTTATAACCCAAAATCCCAGTTATAACTCAGAATCCCTGTTATAACCCAAAATCCCAGTTATAACCCAGAATCCCAGTTATAAACCAAAATCCCAGTTATAACCCAAAATCCCAGTTATAACTCAGAATCCCTGTTATAACCCAAAATCCCAGTTATAACCCAGAATCCCAGTTATAACCCAAAATCCCAGTTATAACCCAGAATCCCAGTTATAACCCAGATTTGAGTTGAGTTGAGTCAAGAATTGATATCACAGCACTTGTGGCATAACCAAGAGTACTCCATCCTCATCTTCAGCAGCCAGTGCAGAGTTCCAATACTAATGGTACCGGTCATAATCTGGTTATATGACCATCTTGCCCTTCCTTTGAGTGTAGTGAGCCGGCCAGACCCTATGGTTACACCCAGGTGCCTCATTGTCTCCTGGCCATAATAATCTTGTTTCTCTACTAATTCTGTTGCTTGTTCCCAAAGGGCCTTGACCACATCTGCCTTGTTATGTATCGATTCATTACCCAGAATTATAACCCAGAATCTCAGTTATAACCCAAAATCCTAGTTATAACCCAGAATTCAGTTATATCTCTGAAGGGCTGAATATAATATCACTGAATCAATTAAGAACTGAGATCACTGCCCTCAAGAAAATCCTCTATGTGCACTGTCTCCCTCCTCAGCAGTCAATGAAGAGTCTCATGCTGATAGTGTCAGCTGCACCTGATTAAATATACATCTGCCTTTTTCTCTGCATATTTAATATTGTACAAATCCTCTATTCATCCTTCAGTTAATCAATATCTCTGGTTAAATATATTCTGTCTGTTCTGTGTGATCTAAATTCCAAAGAGCATTCACCATTTTGACCTTACCATAAAGTAGCTTATCTCCCAGAGAAGAAGCAGCAGCCAAATCTATTATCCTGCTCATTATTATGCACAAGCAAATGTCATTGAAAAAAAAAAAAAAAAAACTCAGGATATGCTTCTCATGTTAGGTTTATCAAACAATGAAAGATACTCTACACATAGAACATCTGTTTGACTACCTCCACCTCCATTTTTGGTTATTACTACTACATGTTGGGTTGTACTACTCTCTATTAGTGCCTCTAATTTTATCTTTGACTTCTTCTTCTTCTGCTGCTAACATTGGTGGAAGGTTCTGGTTGTTGGTCCACTTTCGCACTTTCTGGCTTATTTGTATGCAGACTGTAGGTTCCTTGTCTCTCAGGAAGATGCACTCTTGCAGAAGGAAACTACTAATCAGTTGACTCTCATAACATGATTGTTAAGGAGGCAGTGGGTCTATCCCCCCCCCCCCCCCCCCCCCCCCACAATCAGGCCCTAGAACTGACTTGCAAACATCTTTGATTTAATTACTATCACTACATATTGGGCTACACTACTCTCTATTACTGCGTCCATCTTTGATTACATTGCTACAGCTACATTATGTTCTTACCCCCTTCAACAGGGTCTCCCCAACCATCCGGCCGAAGATGTCGGTGAAGCTGACAGGTTGGCCTTCCTTGCGCTTCTGGATCATGAACTTCATGTAGCTGTACATGGTGGAGGCATTCAGGAACCTGAGTAAACTCTTGTCTACGCTGTGTTTGAGTTCATCCAGAAACTCATTCATGTCCAAGTTTGGCCACTTTGGGTGAGAGTAAAGTGTTGAAAGAAGCCTAATATAACAAGAAATAAAAAAAACATATTGATATCAGCGAGCCGATTTTGGACTGATTGCAGTAAAATAAATATTTGAACATAAAATAATCAATGATAAAAAGCTAGACGATCAGCTCTATTATAGTAAATACTGTTCTGAATGGCTTTGTGCCTCTCACTGTTCTGTATGACTTTATCTCTCTCACTTTTCTGTATAGCTTTGTCTTTCTAACACTGTTTTGTATGGTTTTGTCTCTCTCAATATTCTGTTTGGCTTTGTCTGTCTTACTGTTCTGTATGGCTTTGTCTCTCTCACTGTTCTGTATGGCTTTGTCTCTCTCTCACTGTTTTGTAAGGCTTTATCTTTCTCACTATTCTGTATAGCAATTTCTCTCACTCCACAGAGCAGCTGACTACCCATCAAGAGAGTCATAAAAACACAAACTCTATAGCCTCAATAGCAACCTCCTGGGGTTTCCAAAACACCTACACACGTGAATAATGCCATAAAATCTTACACTGAGCCAGCAGCCTTCGGAACATGAAGCAAACAGCTTAACCTCTTTACAACACAGAGAGCACACAAGCTACTGAGTCAGGAGTATTGTGCAACACTAGAAAATGCAATCTCTTGTGGGATGCTTTTTGTCTGTGTTTCAGGTGATCGTACAGTGAAATACATATTAAGAAAAATGTTGAGTGGTTTGATGTAACATAACAGGTGGTATGCCTTATGCAGTAATGCATGTACACATGTTGGTTTGTCATGACTGCTAATTCCATCAGCAATGAACTGGAATTCCAGTGACAGACTGTTGATGTTGGCACCTCTGGTATCTACCTTATGCATTCAATGCATGAGCAAGCTGTTGAATTTTGCTTGGACTGCAGTCTGTCTATTCAATTATGACAGTGAAATGTATTTTTGTGTCGCTTTCACTACCACAGGAATGGAGCAACTGTAGGGTGACTCAGCTGCAAATAAGTTGGAACCATGACTGACAGTTTGACTACCACTTCCAAAAGACTGGACTACAAACAGGCTAAATGACTAGTATGGTGAATATCCAGTGGTGGGACAAATTCAGTGTTACAAAATGCCAGTTGATTCAGGACATCAAATGTAGATCTAGTAAGTTAATTATAGTCAATGTAGATACAGTCTATTTATGATAGACAAAGGTTACGGCAGACAGACCTGATAGAAAAGGCAGTCACAAAGCTAATGAAACTATCAAACCTAAGTCACAAGCAAAAATATAATATGTAACGCATGGCACTATTATTATTCATACTCTGTGCTGGCTGCTGAAGATGGGGATGGAGTGTTTATGGAAATACCCCGAGAAATGTGATGTCCGTTCTTGAATCAACTCAACCTAAGTCACCATACAGTTACACCGGCCAGGTATAACTGAGTAATTATGAACACAAAAACTGCAAACTAAAATGTTTTTACAAATATCTATAAAAGGGTTTCCATGCCTTGCTAGGTATCTGATGCCAGCCCCATGATTAAACAAAAAAAATATTAATTAACAAATACTGGGTGGACTGATGGGTTACTTCCTATATCACTTCCATGTGCCCATTTTAGCCTGGGTCATCCTAGGATCCCAGGTATATTAAATAACCTGCCTCGGTAAAGATCTGACATAGGGCCACCAAATTTTGCAGGCACGCATATCGAAACAGAACCATTCCAACCTATGCTACACATAAAGGGTGTCCAATCAGTTTCCATACATAGGAAAACATATTTCGATGCATGTCCTCGGCTGTTGAAGAACAAATGTATCAGCACAGCTAGAGTTGTGCACTGGTGATATGCTTATATTTCCTGTGTATGGAAACTTATGGGACACCCGGTATATTGCTGATAGAAACATGAGAACAATGACCTACCATGAGGATCCAGATAACCCACAGGCATACATGGTACAGTCCAGGACTCCAGACTCTGACAAGGCTTTGAACACTCCACTGTAGCCTGTCATGGCACGGAAACCTCCCCCTGAACCTATCACTGCAACTGTTGGCACCTGAAATACATAAATAACATTGGCACCTGAAAGATACAAACAATGGTACCTGAAATACATAAATAACATTGGCACCTGAAAGATACAAACAATGGCACCTGAAATACATAAATAACATTGGCACCTGAAAGATACAAACAATGGCACCTGAAATACATAAATAACATTGGCACCTGAAAGATACAAACAATGGCACCTGAAATACATAAATAACATTGGCACCTGAAAGATACAAACATTGGCACCTAAAAGATAAAAACATTGGCATCTGAAAGATACAAACATTAGTACCTGAAAAAATATAAATAAATTCTAAGAAAAGCTGGAATGCATTTTATCATGTTTTAACATAATGGATGATTCATCTGTGTACCTGGACAGCGGCCTGCATTCACTCACTGCCTGCAACAATAAGTGGTTCTGTGCCTTGCAAATTCAGCCTGATTAAAAATAAACTTCTTTTCATCTGGGTGGACTTAGACTTGTTTAAGTGTAGGGTTGGACTTGACTCCAACCTGCTACAAAGATTTCTATGTGATTTGGATGTCCTGCTGTGAAGTGTATCACCTTTCAGCTGAGAGTTGTCATATCTTATGACATGCCAGTAGGTTATAACGATAATAAGTCTTTGCTTCAGATAACGGCTTCAGTAATACACAATGTCATATTGGTACCACAGATTTATCTGACAGGGGAGACAATGCATGGCACGGAATGCATGACTTCACTGCAACTGTCGGCAGCAATTACATAAAAAAAATGAAAAAAAATATACTTTAAGAAAAACTGCAATGCATTTTATCATGTTTTAACATAAATGATTCATTTGTACCCGGGACATTGCATTCAGAAACTGTCTGCAACAATAAGTGGTTCTGGATCAAATTGCCTGGTTTTGTTGCTTAGTACTGTGGTGGTACAGCTAAAGATTCGTATGTGATGGAGAGCTGAATTGTGCTTGTGGTCATATCTTATGACATGTCGGTAGGCTATAATGATAATAAGTCTTTGCTTCAGATAACGGCTTCAGTAATACACAATGTCAGATTAGTACCACTGATTTATCTGACAGGGGAGACAATCCTGACTGCATGACTTCACAATGTAACAGTAATAAAAAAAAATTTTAAAAATTAGCAATGGCATATCTTACTATATTATTGGACATTACAGAAACCGAAGGAAGCTGTTGCTGGTTCTGTTGCTAGTACTGCGGTAGTGCTGTAGTAGTGTGGCTAGTGCTGTGGCAATGTTGTGACAGTGACGTGGCTTGTGCTGTGGCAATGTTGTTGTAGTAATGTGGCTAGTGGACTAGCCAGCTGGCTTTACAGTCATGTATTTGTGGGTCCTCATCAAATCAGGAATTTTAAAAAATCAATTTGACACAGCCTAAAATGGGTAGCAGGAAATGTTCTATAAGTCAAAGCAAATGGTGTTTCTGATCACATCATGCACAGAAGACTGCCAATGGATCTTTGAAAACAACTGGGCTAGAACAACATACCCAGCCTGCCTCAAGGTGTGAAAAAAAAAAGGGTTCTCTAAGCTTTTACTATTTCTATCTTCTTTTAAATAACTGACATAGTTGTCCTTCTTGTCAGTGAAATCTATCTCTGAGTTTCTACTATTTCTATTTCCTTTAAAAAAAACTGACATAATTGTCCTACTCGACAAGTAAAATCTAACATTTAATGAAAATACTAAATATTCCCTGGGGTTTGAAGATGCAGATGATGTGCTAGCAGACTCTGTTGTGATGGTTTTGACAATATTATGTATAGTTTGTACTTCTTCTTTTTTTGTGTCTGCTCACTGATTCCAGATTGTAGCCCAGTGTTGTGGTTTTCTATACTTGTCTTGTGCTTCTTGGGTGGTGGATTTGTTCATATTTTTGCACATTTCAGCTACACTATTTATTCATCTCTTTCTTGGTCTTCCCCTCGCCTTCCTCCCAGATGTTCTCCTGCAAAAAGTATGTTATGTAGCTTGGTCTGGCTGCATTTACTAGAAGGCCGAGAATATGCAGCTAACTAATTAAATGTTCCCATACCTCATCAATGTTCAGTGGCCCATCTTCTACTCCCAACAGCTTCCTCATTCCTTCTAGAGTTTTTTCCTTCCGCAGTTCCATGAACTCCTTCTCCTGAGTGCTCAGACACAAACTGTAGCGCAGGGTTGGATTCCGACTGTTGTCAGATTTCAGAAGAAAAAATATGTATAAAGAAAATGTAATTTTTACAAACAAGAAGATAAAGCATAAGTTGCAAAAACAAAAACAAAAAATTGTCTTGACTCTTTTGGAACCACAGAACCAGCATAAGTTTATTGGTAAACACATCAATGGCATATACATCTAATATTTTTCTTTCTCTATCCCTACTTGCATTATGCTAATCCATGTTGTCCTAGTAGTTATTTCATAGGTCCTTTAGATATTTTCTCAAAGTGATGCAGGTGTGTTGGGAAATGAGCAAGCTGACAGACTGGCTGGTTCTGTACCATTTGGTAGTAAATGGATGCATCATAAGCTAGATGTGAACAAGACTCTTTCTGAGAGAGTGAAAAGTGTGGAGGCACAGACAGATAGATCATCATGGTCTGAAGGAAATAGTGCATTAGGAAGTGACCAATGGATCTGGTCAACTATCAAGACTCAGGGCAAAAGCAAAACAGACATATATTCAGACTCTTACTGATACCATCAGCACTGGAACTCTGCACTGTCTGCTGAAGATGGGGATGGTTAACATATGGTGGGAGGTTTGAGGTTTTTACAACGGATCAACATCATGGCACAGGGGTGTAACCCATAATGGCAACGCAATATGGGAATGTCTCGAGTACTTTGATGTCAGTTCTTAACTCAGCATAACTCAGCTTTAACTCCTGTGCAACAGCTGCATTGATTTAGCCAGGACAAATTGTAAAGATTGAGAAGATAATGATTTAAGAATTAGAAATTTAATAAAGAAAACAATTTGAGAATGAGCAGTAAAAAATCCTACAATTAAGAAATGATTTAAAAAAAAATAACTAAAACAAATACCAAAAAAAAAAAAAAAACAAACATGACACAATTAAATGAGAAAGCAGACACAAAGTGATAAAGTAAACGTTTAATTGTTCTTTTTCTTCTGTGTTTATCCAAAGACGCAACTATGTTGCGCCCATTTAAAACATGGCTGTGATATTAGCACCTTTCAGCCTAAACATCGAACTTCTGCAGGCATTTGTTGCCCTGGTTAGCCTTCCCAGAAAGGTTTAACTGAAACATGAAACATCTTAAAAGTCAACAAATGTTAACAGTACGGGGCTGCAGAAGTTGAAATGGGCCTACTTCAATCATATTTTATAATTTTTTTTGACCCACTGGCACTCGACTGGTTATGTGGTCAATATCATAACAGCCGCTTTTACTTCCCTGAATTTTATGAGGTACCAATTTTAGACTGGGTCAACCTAGGAGCCAAAGTAATTTTTAGGGAAACAAATCTGACTCAATGTGGATTCAAACCCATGACCTTTGAGCTGGAAAGTGAGCATCTAACTACTTCACCAGTTTAAGCAGTTACTAAATAAAAATAAATACATAAATAACATACTCAAACTCCAGCTGGAACTCAATGTCCACTTGAGATATCTGAAACGAAAACAGCAGAGACGTTTTAGACAACATTATCCAGTGTTTATATTTCCTAGATCCTTACAAACATGAGATAGATGATAACATCACTGATAATAAAAACAACACTGATGATAATAACACTGAAGGTATCTTAACAAAACATTATATTAGCCAAGATCATGTATTTTTATTTCATAGATCCTAAAAAAGATGAGACAAATTATAACAGCACTAACAATTATAACTATGATGATATATTAAACAAAACAGCAAACAAAAAACAAGGTCTTAACCATAATAATCACAATGCATTTATTAAACACATAGTTTTTTTTTTTATATAAGTGAACTGATCATAATGACAACAGTCATCCACATTACGAAACAACTCAACCCACCTTGTTGAATACAAATGTTTCAACCAATGGCTTGTCCATCTCTCGAATGTTCACAATATCATAGTAAACTGTGCCCACTTTCTGGTCAAACCAAACAGCATTAGACTCCATAAGGTTGATTTCTGAAAAATGTGGACAGAAACATGTGATCTCATCAATGTGCCACTGACACAAATCTGTAAATCAAAGAAAATTAGCCCTTAAACAGCATCATCTACCAGAAAATGATATACTTCACTGATATCAAATGCTGCAGTTTTTTAAAGAAAAAAAAGTAAAATGCAGGATTCATTGAATCACACTGGAGAAACTTTCGGCATGAAAAAGCACATCGCAGAAGAATTTCAATTGGCTCAAAGTTCTTTCCAGAGAAACTGCTTCTTTTTTTATGGTGATGTCTGGTCAACTTGCTTGTACCAGGATAAATGGCTAAACAGCTTTCTCAGGTGAAAATTGAAACCTAGAACAGTTTACTGAGTAAAAATATTGTAAAACATACAAACCTAGCACATGTTTCACTATAAAGTTGATGTAAAACACACCAACCCAACACATGTGACATTTGACTTGGTAAAGTTAATGTTAAAAAAAACACCAAACCTAGCACATGTGACTGGGTTAAGTTAATGTAAAAAACACAAACTTAACAAATTTGACTTGGTGAAGTTAATGTAAAAAACACAAACCTAGTATATTTGACTGGGTAAAGTTAATATAAAAAACACACAAACCTAGCACATTTGACTGGGTAAAGTTAATATAAAAAAAAAACACAAACCTAACACATTTGACTGGGTGAAAATGTAAAAAACACAAACCTAGCACATTTGACTGGGTGAAGTTAATGTAGAAGGTGAATGTTTCATCCCAGACAGGGTTGGTGTCATTCTGTTTCACTGTTGTGCTCTTTTTTCCTTCTGGAGAGCTTCTCAGGATCAAGTTAATGTATGGGTCCGGCGTGTCGTCTGGCCATGATAAATGGTTACAGTAAGTAAGTAAGTGGAGTGAGCAAAGCCAGAAGGCAATTTGAACTTCTAACACAACTATAAAATAGCAATTTATTGTATATCTTCATTCAGAAGTAACATTATTATGTCAAATTAAGTAACATTGACAAGTAACACTAAGAAGTCACATTAAGGGTAACATCAAGAATTTGCATTAAGAAGTCAGATTAAGAAGTGACATTAAGAAGTAACATCAAGAAGTCACATTAAGAAGTAACATTAGGAAGTAACATCAAGAAGTCACATTAAGAAGTCACATTTAGAAGTAACATTAGGAAGTCACATTAAGAAGTCACATTAAGAAGTCACATTAAGAAGTCACATTAAGAAGTCACATTAAGAAGTCACATTAAGAAGTAACATTAGGAAGTCACATTAAGAAGTCACATTAAGAAGTCACATTAAGAAGTCACATTAAGAAGTAACATCAAGGAGTCAGATCAAGAAGTAAATTAAAGAACTCTTTTCACACCAGTGTTACATCTTATGCTTCTATTTTATATACCAGTCGGCCCTCTGTGGGTAATGGGGCCACCATAACACCAGTCACCTTTACTTCCCATAACATTTCCATGTATAAATTTTAGGCTGAATTGATCTGGGAAGGCTATGCTAATGTTTTTTTTTTCCAGATCCGCCCTATGCATGCTTGAGAGTATGGAATTAATATAAATAATTTTGTAGGACTGAACTGGAATTTCCTCTATAATCTCAATGACATTTTACATGCAAGATTTAAGCATTGCATTGTTATATACATATTTTATAGTATTTTGCCATTTTGTAGATACTGACTAACACAGCCTACTGTCTGTCTGTTTTACCACATTGTTAGGGCGGTGTAGACAGGTTGTCGTGAGCTTATGGGTGTAGAAAGGCATGGCTAGTGCTGTCGCCATGGACTGTGCAGGTTATGATGTTCAATTCTGCCTCCGTCAGAAAAATTCCATCATCTTACCGGTGGGGGTAGAGGAGGGGGTGGAACCCGGGTCTCCCCCATGACAGCCCGACCTTGTAACCACTGGGCCAGATGCTCCTCGAACTAACTAACTTCTGCTTTTTCTTCTCTTCCACCTTGTACCTCATCGAACTAACTAACTTCTGCTTTTTCTTCTCTTCCACCTTGTACCTCATCGAACTAACTAACTTCTGCTTTTTCTTCTCTTCCACCTTGTACCTCATCGAACTAACTAACTTCTGCTTTTTCTTCTCTTCCACCTTGTACCTCATCGAACTAACTAACTTCTGCTTTTTCTTCTCTTCCACCTGTACCTCATCGAACTAACTAACTTCTGCTTTTTCTTCTCTTCCACCTTGTACCTCATCGAACTAACTAACTTCTGCTTTTTCTTCTCTTCCACCTTGTACCTCATCGAACTAACTAACTTCTGCTTTTTCTTCTCTTCCACCTTGTACCTCATCGAACTAACTAACTTCTGCTTTTTCTTCTCTTCCACCTTGTACCTCATCGAACTAACCAACCAACCAACCAACCGACCGACCGACCGACCGACCGACTGACTGACTGACTGACTGACTGACTGACTGACCGACTGACTGACTGACTGACTAACTAACTACCACAATCGCTTGCCTTATAGTATATTCTTTTTTTTTTTTTAGATAGCTCAGAATATGTCCCAGTAGACAGCTCAGGCTAAACCTTAATACTGTCCCTTTTAATAGTAAACGGCTCCGACCACTACGATAATGCTGACATTTCTGCTACTGCCATAAAGTCTTGCTCAGGTCACCTTTTCTTTCTTTTTAAAGCCCCCCCCCCCCCCACCTCCCCCTTTCCAGGAGTGCAGTCTGTAGGATCAACATATCAAATAATGAGAATCACAAAAAGTTCAAATCTCAGAAACCCGGTTTAATCCACAGCCGTATAACACAGTAATACAGGATGTGGGTGGAAAATCGACCTATTTATATTTAAGGCATTCCTAGCCCATAAATACATCTGATCCTAAACGTTTTCTTAAAAAAAAAAAAAAAAATACAGCTTGCTGTAAACATTACCTATATACATGTCTTGTCATAAACGTTATCCATAAACTAATAGCTATAAACACAGTGCATTACTCACAATAGTCCTGAAAACCTAACGTAATATTACGTCCTCTGAGAACTCTGACTGTTAAAATCAAACATGGTGTATGCTGAACCTGGCAGACAGAAATTAGGAATAAAATGGATTTGAACACTAAACATGCACTTAATCATGGGTTTAACAATGAACAGTCGAGTAATCACAGTGGAATTCTGAAGAAGAAGAAGGGGGAGGAGGAGAAGAAGAAAAAGTATGAGGCGGAAGAGGTGGAGAAGAAGGGGGAGGACGAGGAAAAAGGTGACAAGAAGGAAAAAGAAAGATACCAGGAGGAGGAAGTGGAAGCTGCAGCAGTAGCATAATCATCGTCAGCAGCAATAGCAACAGTAAAAAAGAAGAAGCAGAAAAAGAAAGAAGTTTAAGCGATAGACCCAAAAGGGTCGGTAAGGAGAGGTTTAACTATGGAACTGAGTGGGTTGAGCGACGTTCAAAACGAACAGGACCGCACAACACAAACACCCTGTGACACAAGGTGCCAACACTAGCAAAAGAATCCACTTGGCACAAGTCTCAGAAACCCCGTTCAGCCCTTAGGTTATACATGAGCCCTCGACAACAGCCGGGGTGATTCTTTAAAAAAATTGCAACCCATATTGGGGCGGAGATTTAGGTATTGAGTAGGTAATCACGCTGGAGAGAGTGCGATGTGCAACACAAATATAATATTAGCAATGTAATGTTACTAACGTTAATTTTACAGTTACACTCTTTTGTATTTACGCAGGAACATAATCAAACACAAGCTTGGTTAGTTAAACGGGTTTAGTTCGCGCGCACTTGTAATCTTTCATCACAGATGATATGGGAAGGGGGAGAAGAAAGAAAACTGGGGGGGGGGGGAGAGGGGGGATTTTCTGTGACCCCAGACTAGAGGGCAAATGGTTCAGGGTCGGTTACTGGGTTCGAGGTAGGTCAATAGTACATGGAATTAACTAGGTCAATAAGCTGTAGTGGGTCCTCTAATCTCTCTCTCTCTCTCTCTCTCTCTCTCTCTCTCTCTCTCTCTCTCTCTCTCTCTCTCTCTCGTTCGCTAAGTATCCTATAGACATCGATCACTTTCTGTGAATATAAAACAGTGGCGCACCTCTATTCTAATTGCATGATGGCAGACTTACATCATACAAAGTAAGCCAGACAGACACACACATGCAAACACTATCAGGCACGAGCTGGTAAACACACACACACACACACACACACACACACAAGGGTACACGTGCATAGTTTTCCCCACCTCTCAGAAACCCATGACCCGAAAGGCTAGTGGATGATACGCACCCGCGCGCGCATACATATAGACAGAGGGGTACATGTGCATGATTTCCAAACTGGCAGGAGCCCAAGCACGAGAGCTTCTTAATTAAATACCCTGAGCTAATTAAGATCAGCACACAAACCACTGGCCCACCGCAGCTCTTCTTACGTCTTGCTACCCCCTCCCTAACCACCCCCATATCACTCCCATAGCAGTGTAGCCATATCCACCCGGTTAATACCAGATGTAGCACTAGTAGCCCAACTGTAACTGTTGGAGGGATACCGGTACATATATCTAGGTATCTAGGATGAGGCTCTTTGAGTCACAGGGATATTATATCTTCCCGTAGCAGCCTCGAGGAGACACTGTCAACCCCTCTTCTCTTCTCGTTATGCGGGCTCTCTTTTACTAGTGTATGTGTGTGCGCGCGTGTGTGTGTTTTGTCGCCCATGTGTGTGTGTGTGTGTGTGTGTAACTGGGGGGAGAAAGCTTTATGATTTTGGAATTTAGTTTGGTCAACCATACGATTATGCGAAAAACTACGTTTCTATTTCCGGTTTTATTTACAGTCGTTTATGATTCTGTTTTACTTACAGAGATTTTTGTTGAAACGAGCGAACGCTTTGATACCACTTCCACACTGCATGATGAGGAAAAAAAAAAAAAAGGGGGGGGGGGGGGGGGGGGGCGGGTGTCTGGTGTTCTCTGTGATTTAGCACTTGAGCCGCTTGGAAACTATCCATTGTTTAGGTACGTTCACAAAATAATATTCTGTAATATTGAATATTGCTGTCCCCCCGTGTGGGTTCCGGGGCCCTATTGTGGGGAAAACAAGAATAGACCCACTGCCTCCCCAAAAGCATGTCGTAAGAGTCGACTAACTGGGGAGCTTCCTTTGAAGTCGGAGTGCATCTGCCTGAGAGGCAAGGAACCAGCAGTCTGCATTCAATTGAATCAGATCTGTAAAACTGATGCACATGCAACACTCAGGTTCTGGAGCATGACTGCAGTCCAGAAGTGGACGAACAACCAGAACTTTCCGCCAGAGTGTACAGCTGGTGAACACAAAGAAGAAGAAGAAGAATATTGCTTCAGGTTAGGTTTAGGGTTTGGGATAGCCCTGACTCTTACTGTAACCTTAACATAAAATTATACATAATATTAAAGAATATTATTATGTGAACACATACAAACAATGGACTGCGTCTCTTAATGTCGGCATTTAAAGCATTATCCATTTAGAACAGAATACCTCCTATAGGAATGCCTAGGATTGCCGTTTTGAGAACTACCGCTGTGTTTTCTTTTAAACTGAGAGATCGCCAAGGATAGTCGCTGCAACTACGGAGCTCATGCCTTATGTAACGTTCTTGGCAGGAGACTTGTCGGAATGAGGAGAGAGAGACGAATCAATACCCCAGAGCATTGAAGTCGACCCTCTCCGCCTTAAGTGTGAGGTTATGAACAAACCGATTTGTTGTTGGCTACAAAAGTAACAGTGGTGGAGCAGCCATAATGGATAAGGCAAATGTTCTGAATTTACCTAGGAAACTGATGAAAGACAGACTGTTGGTGAAACAATACATGAGAGAATCCGTAAATAAAGAGTTAAGTGTACATCTGGTATAGGAGGATGCGTGGAAGGAAGTAGAGGCACAATGTGTTTACAAGCTGTGTGATTGTATAAACGAATGGTGTCACACATATCAGTATGAGACTGAATGATCAATATCTACAGGTTCAACTCACGTTTCCATGCCCAGAAACAGTGTCGCGGGGCTTGTTCTATGTAGCGGGGGTGTCACGCATACTGACCAGTCGGCGATTCGGTCCAAAAACATGCAGAACTGGCCCTCAGCCTAACGTACCACAGTCTTGCGACATACGCTGCATGCAGTCGTGGGACGTAGAGGGGGGTTAGGGCCAGTTGTGCATGTTCTGCGATCGTTAAAAGCGATCACATCTTGGAATATTCAACAAGCGAAATAGCCGGCCGGAAAAAAAAAAAAAAAACTGGTAAAATGCTGCGTGTTGGTAGGCGGTCACTAAGTCAGGGGGTCAAACTTTTGTGGCCACGGCACCCTTATGGGGCTAAAAAAAAAAAGTTCGCGGCACACCTACAGATTAAGCGGTCTAATTCTTTAAAAAAACAGAAAAAAAGTGCACACTTAATGTCCAGTTGTCTTTAATACGAGGAATAAAACTGTTTGGATGCATTTTAAATTATATCCTTTTCATTTTTTAGAAATTATCTCCATCATGGATGACCCTGCCTGAATAGATAAAGCGCGGCGTTTGAAGATTTCTTAACCTGTGTGTACTAAATCAGAATGATTGCATTCTAGATGACTCTTTCATTTGGACGGGTAACCTCAAGCAGACTGATTTCTGCCAGGAGGCGGTACTGAAATGGGAGCCACCATCACATTTTTAATGGGACCAGGAAAAACACGTGTTGACAAGAAAAAAAGCTACATTTTGTTTCTACGGCTGTAAACTGACGGAACCTGAAAAAAACTACATAATATATACTCGCAATTTGAAAAATGCACAATTAAGGATGGTCATAGGATGGCATAAATGGGGGCAAATAATCTAAGGTGTGATTGAATTCCTGCAGTCTCTGAAGCAAGGAAAATGTAGCCGCAGAAAATTTTGTATGACTTTTAGCGGTTAATAAAGTTATTCATCACTAAACAAAAAAAACAAAAAAAGCAGCTGTTATCAACACTTCTATGACAGTTAACGCATTGCTCTTCCGGTATTTTTTTCGTTCCAAACAGAAACAAAGCCAAAGTGAAATAGCTAGGATCGTATTTTCTTAGTGATCCTCGGATTTTCTTTTGGCCGTGAATTGTCTTTCCGCGAACTGAGGGAGGCGAGCTTTGATGGTTTAGGCATTTTATGCCGTACGAAAAACTTCTCAGTGTGAAACAAACATCAAACTCCCATCGACAGTGGCGAGGGAAGAAAACTTCAACTTGATCCGCATGTCTTCTTTAGTAATTTCACAATGTTTAGCAGACTTTTGTTGATTACTGCCACGGCACCCCTGGCATAAACTTGCGGCACCCCTGGCATAAACTTGCGGCACCCCTGGCATAAACTTGCGGCACCCCCGGATGCCGCGGCACCCCTGGCATAAACTTGCGGCACCCAGTTTGAGAACCTATGAACTAAGTGATGCAACGAAAACGTTGTGGACAATTCAAAATATTTCTAGTCGTAGTAACTTCAGACGACCGGTTCTTGAACTTTGGATTATTCTGTAAGGCTTGATGTTGGATGTATGTCCCGAAGTACCTCTTAATCCCACCTCACTATTTCTATCTTTGATGTATCCATTGTTAAACACTGACAAATGACACGGCTTGGTATTTTTGTGTGATCTTCGAAAGTCGTTTTACGTGCACGTATACGGATAATGAAGTTATTAATCTTTACACATTGACGTGTTGATTACGTCATTCTGGTCAAGTGAGTTACGTTCTGGCTTCACCACCCATACCTCGGTCATCTCGTTTCTGCTGAAGTTATTAACGATGTGGCTAGTCGTTTGCCTGCCCGCCGGAATGTTCTAACTGCGAATCTGCAATGAGGGTAGCTTTTTAAATAAATGGTCTTGACTCCGAGGTCGACGCAGCATAAAATGAATACCAGGATATGTCCTGGGAGGCAAAGGCGATCAGCGTGATCACATCACTCATCAATAATTGATTAATCTTTACAAATATCGGTCTAGTCGTGTATATATATATATATATATATAATATATATATATATTATATATATATATTTATATATATATATATATATATATTACAACTACAAACGCACCCTGCTTCAAACCTGCTTGACACCCCCCCCCCCCTCCTTCCCCCACAAACGCCCATTAACCCCTCTTCGAGCTCCCAGGTTGGAAACCGCGGGTCTAGACAATGTAAACATTAATGCGCACTGAAGTCGACCCCACTGACTAAAGTGGACAGACTGTTAAGTATGTAACACTCCCGACTAAAGCAGAAAGAGGAAGAAGAAGAGAACTAAAGTGCCCCACCACATGTTGGTCTGCTTTAAGAATGAGTTGGCTCGAACCACAATGGCAGGTCAACATGATTAAACATGTCTATTGCTTGCGTGTAGGCTGAAATATGTGTCTATGACTGTCTATGTGGACGTGAGTGTGTGTCTGTGATTGTGCGTGTGATTGTGTTACATTTGACGTAAATTTGAAACTAGACACGGCATATGGTGAAGCCCCCCCCCCCCCCCACCCCACTTTTGTTTTCTTCTCTTTCACACGGCCTCTCCTAATCTTCTCTTTTTGTTCCCGTAATTTAATACTCCTGTTTTTAAATAGCGGAATTTCTATAAAGAAAACACGGAAAACAATGCGTAGGTTTCTGTATGTAATTTTTGGGAGGGATAGAAATTGGATGTTGTTTCTCTAGACTGGCTGTGAGATGTAGCAAGGAGAAAGAAAGAAATTCACAATAAATGATCGCCAGGAAGGAAGGGATGAAAGCATGAAAAATAAGACGAGGAATGAACCAGGCATTACCGTAAACTCACAAAGGTCAATATTACAAGTATAAATCAGGCACAACACTATTTAATCATGTTGTTTCAATGGCATTAAAGGCTATTACAAATAGCATAGATGATATTACAAATAGCAAACAATAATATTACAAATAGTATAAATAAAGTAAAATAGCACACATCAGTGTTTCCCCAACCTTTCTTGGTCACGGCGCTCCTTTTCAATCAACATCTGTCCACGGCGCCCTGACCTAAGTACAAGTATGACTATTGGTGTCTTGGTAACATTAATTATGAAGCTTTTACAATATATCGCATCGCTCCTGTGAAGAGGTCGCGGCTCCCCGGGGCGTCGCTGCGCACAGTTTGGGAATCACGAGCACACATGATATTACAAGAAACATGAAAGATATGACAAATACTGTAAACGATATCACAAATATATCACAAGTACTGTTCTCTGCACTGAGAGCACACGGAATCTAAAGCAGTTTTATTTGTACACATTAGCCAAAGATCTTTAAAACAAAAACCTTTGTATATTGCCTTGAACGGGAAACAGGTTTCGTCTATGAATGGACCAGTCAGTTAGTAGACAGTAAGGCACACATACAGACAGATAGATAGATTGACAGACGAACGGACGGGAGGATTTGGTTGTGAACAGTTTGTTGCAGACGTCACTGCCATAAAACTCCTATTGCTGTCTGTATTGACTACTCACTTCTGCAGGAGAGGGGGGGGGGGGTGGCAGCGGGCTTTGAGCCTGAAAGTTTAGGGCATCGTTGTTAGTGCTGTCGTCACTGTTATAATATTATTTTTCCCTCCGACTGAACAAAAAATCTCCAGCCTTACAGAGGATTTGAGCAAGGTACTCTCGCATGGCAGCCCAGCGTTCTTAACCGATTGGCCAATCGCTCTTACGTAAATCACAGAAGTATTTATATTCCATTTCATGGAATTAAGGTCATCAACAACGGGAATCGACTACTGACTGGATCTGTCAGCTTTTGTTTGACAAAGCAGACACAGAGTCATTACCAGAGAATCGGCCACGTCTGTACATTTCCCACATATAACTTTTTTTTTTCTTCTTCTGTTGTTTCTTCTCCTTCTGTTGTTCGCCTGAAATATTTGTATGTATCAGCAATTTTGTCTCTCATAAAGATTTCCCTGTCATTTTTAGTTCGTTCAGTGTACTTTTTACTGTTGTTCTTTCTGGCCAAAAGGTTTGCTTCAGTGTATCAAATTCAGTGCAGTCGTGGAGTTCATGTTTTGCTGTGTAGGGCACCTTTTCAAAGGTGCTGTTGTTATTGATCCAGTGGTGCACAGGGCTGATACGCCTACCCTGAATGTTTTGTACATGTGGTTATGTAATCGGCGGTGCCCATGTTCTGAGACAAAGGATAATGACTTGATCTGATCTGTCCATAATAAATTAGTTGTCTTGTGCTGGAACTGGTTAAACGATCTTTATTTGTGTGGAATTAATTGTCAGCAACACCGTGTATCTTGTGTTTTCGAAACGTATGTCGCCATATATGACGGTGACACACACGAAACATGATTCGTACGATGATGACAACTACAATTATTATAATGACAATGACAGAAGACGCGGTACTATGATTTTAGTTCACTGCATCTAGGAGATTTTGAGAGTTCTCAGGGTCTAATATCATGGTGAGGAAAGTTAGGCTTAGGGTGTAAAACTAACGTTATTCTCCCCCACGGACCACCCATATACACACTAGCTCAATTCTGATTGGTAGACTATGAGCCACGACGTGACCTTGGCACAAAGTTACAGGGGTATTACGCAATGTCGTTGATATCGCATGTTGTATATTTCAACGCAGTCAAGAACATGGAAAAACTGGGTCTAACACAACCGCCCTATAGAGTGCTGCAACCTATGTCACAGGCATTATCTTTCTCGGAATAAAAACGTAAATGCAAGACAACCCAGAAAGCAAACAACAGAGCGGCACACTCGTAATCTGCAGGAAATTAGACCAGCTCAACAAACCTGTGAATGAAACGTGACCTACTTTGTTTGGGGAGACTAACTTAAACCTGACCGGCATAGGTTTAGAGTTAGTGGGTGTTCACTTCACGTCGTAACACCCGTATAATACTGGACTTTGCAGACGAACTCTCGGATTCTCCGAGATCGGGTCAATAGAAGATAAGGGACCGCCAATGCACCTACTGATCCTGACAAAAACGATACATTTGATGACAATTACAATAGCATCGATTCTTATGATAATGACAAACATAAAGATGACAACAACCAGGATTATGACGACAAGAACGTCCAAGAAGACGTCGTTTGACAGGTACTCACCTCAAAAATCTGGTAGGGGTCATAGCTGAAACAGAAGAAAACACGAGAACTTGTCAAAAAGATGTGACAGTTCCTATGCTGATATCACACATTTAGTTCACACAATTCAAGGTTGTGGAGCTTTACAATTCACTTACCGTGAGTTCACTTGGGTTCATACTGAGGGGAGGATCTGAGCACTGATGCCTATGTCCGGAGTGTAATGATGACAACCTAGCTAACTAACCAACCAACCAACCCATTAACAAACTAACTAACTAACTAACTAACTAACTAACTAACTAACTAACTAACTAACTAACTAACTAACTAACTAACTAACTAACTAACTAACTAACTAACTAAATAACTAAATAACTAACTAACTAACTAACTAACTAACTAACTAACTAACTAACTAACTAACTAACTAACTAACTAACTAACTAACTAACTAACTAACTAACTAACTAACTAACTAACTAACTAACTAACTAACTAACTAACTAACTAACTAACTAACTAACTAACTAGCATGGTCATTGCATGATGTTTCCATTTGCAGGAGCTTGAAATAATGCCAAAGAAAAATATCTGTCTCCGTACCAAAGCTAAATAAATATTTGTATGTCTATATTCATGTCTGTCCCTTTGCCCTTTCATCTACAAATCATATAGAGACAAGAAACGAAGAGAAAGAAAGAAAGAGAAAGAAAGAGAGAGAGAGAGAGAGAGAGAGAGAGAGAGAGAGAGAGAGAGAGAGAGAGAGAGAGAGAGAGAGAAGGGGTCATGCACCCAACAGATAATCTACAATAATATACAATTAGAACTGGACAAGACAATAAATAGCAAGCGGCAAATGACTTGCTGGTTATATACACACAAATGTGGATTGAAACAAACTCACACAGCCCGGCTAGGAAACTGTCCCCACAGTGACCTTGGTTTACATAACATCACTGATCCTGAGAACACGAATGAGAGCATTGATAACAGAACCGAGGGGGTTAGAGAGAGTGGGGTTGGGGGGAGTGGGGTTGGGAAGTTGTCTGTTCACTTGTGCACTATAATGTGATTAAAGCAATTGCGTTTTGCGTGCATATCCGTTTTACAGATCTGGTCTAGTTGTACGCAGATTGTTAGTTTCTCTTCGCTCAGGAGGATCCGCTTCGACTTCGAAGGAAACACCATTAATGAGTCTGCTTTTACGAAATGCTGCTGTGATGGAGGTGGGGGGGGGGGGGGTAGTGGGTTGATTCTATTAACCCCCCACCCTTCATTGGGACTCAGAAACCCACATGGGGAGTCACTGATGATAAGCACTCACAGAAGTAGAATAAATAAAAAACGCTGTTTCTCAAGGTGGCATTTCTGTGCGTGATGTACGATTCTATCGTATGCAGCTCACATTAATGGCGATATGAATAATTCCCGTGTGTGCTAATGTAAGATCCACATCCTGGCCCAGCAGAGATTTATCCCCAAGATGTAAAGTAAACTGAGTTCAACCCAGATCAGAAATGTCCCTGGAAAGAAACAGGACAATGGGAAAGACCCACGGTAACCCCACCTCTTAATTCCGTAACTTTGTATACGTGAAAAACTAACAACTTACACATTTTCCCAGGAACTAGCTTCACCTAGTTGTACCAGGCACGACCGACCCCACTGTTTACGATTTCTGATGAAATGAAGAATGCAACTGTTTACTCATCTTACAAGCCCCGCTTCGAACCATTCCAGGACAGGCAAAGAGCACGGAATAGAAGAAAGTAATGAAAAAAGGGGGGAGTGGGGGGGGGGGGGGGCAGAATCAGTTTCTGTTGAAAAACGTTGGATTCCGGATAATACTTTCCTCCCCAACCGGACATTTTACTAACTAGTCACTGGGGAAGAAACGTGATTCACCACCAGACACAAGAGGTTCGGTAATCGCTGCAGATCTCGTAAAATATCCACGAGATCCGGGTCGAAGATTCCAAATTCCCACCGCACGAATCTCCTTTGTCCTTCCTGAACCATGCAGCCAACTAAACGTTTTGGAATGGCTTACTTGCGAATTACTGGCCGGTCTGTGTGTATACCATATGAATACATACATATATGTGCGTTCGTATGCGCGCGCTTGTGTGTGTGTGTGTGTATGCTTGCGTCTGTGTTTGTACGTACGTACGTACGTACGGTCTGTCTGTCTGTCTGTCTGTCTGTCTGTCTGTCTGTCTGTCTGTCTGTCTGTCTGTCTGTCTGTCTGTCTGTCTGTCTGTCTGTCTGTCTGTCTGTCTGTCTGTCTGTCTGTCTGTCTGTCTGTCTGTCTGTCTGTCTGCTTAAGCTTATGTATTTCTATTCCTTTTTCTTATTTATTTTCCTTATCTTTTTTGCATGCCATTTTCTTTATGGTGTGTTCCTTTTGTCAACCATCTACCCGTTAGTTTGTCTATCCTTACCTCCATCCGCCCATCCATCCAACCATCTAATCCATACATAAATCCATACGCCGCTAACCATCCATCTACTCAGCCATACATTTATTTAGCCACCCAAACATTCATCTATTCCATCCCCTCATCCATATGCGGGTTCCTTCATCAAAGTACATATCTATCTATCCATCCACGATAGATGCGGATTTCTCCACAAACGCACACACCAGTCCATCCACCCACACATCAAACCATTCATCCACACATCAAACCATCCACCCACACATCAAACCATCCCCCACACATCAAACCATTGATCCACACACCAATCCATCTAGCCACACACCAATTCATCCACCCACACATCAAACCATCCGGGGATTCCTCTAAAAACAAAAACGTCTATCTATCCATCCATAATGGACACCACATGTATTAACACAACCATTCGTCGTTCTCTCATGCGTCGGTCTGTCCTTCCTCCGCCTATCTGTCATTCCGTTGTTATGCTTTCAGTCTTTTCTTCTTTAAATAAATTCCTCACCTATAACATTAAATACAATAAGAGGATCATTAAAAATAGGATCAAAGAAAAGGTTTAAACAACCTGGCAGCTTTTACCGAACGATTGTCGATTTCCTTACGGTTAAGGCACCAGACTTCACCGTGCTTGCGCAACTAACAAACAATGCCTGTTGATGTATTTACCGAGCTTGTGATTGTCGACCCTCACCCCCTCTCTCTCCCAGCTCTAGGTAATGTGTTCCACATGTGAGAATCTCTGCTTCTGTGCTTATTTCGTAACACCGACGTGAATCTATAGTTTCATTTTGGGAAACGCTGAAATACGATAGTAAGCCGCCAGTTAACTCTTGCCCTCGTCGTGTGCCATGTCGATAAGAGCAGACTACAGGCGCACTGACACATTGATAACGGATGGTCGGGGGAGGGGAAGCAACAGGCGCCCCCCGCCGCAACACCTCCTCGCATCTGACGAATGTAATCAAAAATGAGCCCCAGCTTCACTCATTCACACCAAGCAACTCACCGTACGCCCGTTGGCTTCAACCGCTAACCAGTTCTGCGGCGTAGGAGAGAGAGAGAGAGAGAGAGGGGGGAGGGAAGGTTCATTAAGTCTACTACTGCACATTTAAATGATGATTAGGACCTTTAACGCGCCCCACACTCTAGGAAATTTTAAAAGGGCCGAGTATCCCCCCCTCCCCCGGGGTCAATATCTAACCCCATTTAAGCAACCACATGTTTTCTTTGTATTAGGATGAAGATGAAACAAATAAACTGTCGAAAATTAACACCGGAAAAGAATAAGTATGAGTCAATTAAAAAGAGGGCAAAATCTGGGAAAAATCTACCACTTCAATCTGTTTTTAGTCAAGCGTAGATATTTGTTTGTGAGTCAAATTGCTGATTCACCGGTAGTCAGGTCAAGTGGGGCCAAGGTCAATGTCATAATATGAGAAGTGGGCAGAGGTTTGGACAGTCAGAGGGGGGACACAGAGATAAACAGGAAGATTCGGACACAAAGATAACACTGCTCCTCTTAACGAAGTCAGGAGTAAACAACCCACCAGGCGTTTGCAGGTTCCTTACTTATTTTATACCCATTTCCTAACTTCGTATGCCTCATGTAGTGACTGCACTAAGCCCCTTCACAAAAGTTATATTAACCCCTGTTGATTAGTATTATTGTTATTCTGACCCTATCGGTCGCAAATATTGCGATAGGTCGGCCTCGACCGACCCGACTGTCACACAACATCACGGGTATATTCCGCACTCGCGTTTATACCGCGTGTTGTATATTTCACCATCCCAGAGCTTTTAACACTTCTAAAACATTTAGATACTTGGTCTAACACACAACTCCCCTAGAGAGTGACAAAAGCTATGACACAGGCCGTCTCTTTCTCGGAAATAAAAACATAAATACTAGACAACAATAGACTGCGCCACCCATAACCTCGAACACGGTAGACTAGTCCAACCAACTTATCATGAAAGTTGACCTACAACCGGTGAAGTTTTAATGGGGAGACCAGCGTAAAATTCTCTGACTGCTTTAGGTAATTGACGGCATAGGTTCTTTTAGAGCAGCTGTTCTCAACCTATGGGACCCCACCCTTTCTGTGTGGGTCGATCGACACTTTCACTGTGGTCGCCTAAGACCATCTAGAAACACAAATGCACTGAAGTTATGAAGTAGCAACAAAAACAGTTGTATGTTTGGGGATACCCACTGCAAGAGGAACGGTTTTAAAGGGTCGCGGCATTAGAAAGTTTGAGTACACTGTTTTAGAGGGAACTGAATAGAAAAAGCGGATGTTTCAAGGAATCAGATGATTTAATAACTGGAAGGGTTTCGCTATCTTCTGGTTAAAAGCAAACATTTTACAACTTGAAATTAACAAAACAAGAGATAGAAAGCAAAACATGCATGAATTCAACCAAGAAATGCACCTTCCCCAGGTCCTTGAAGACAGACAGGAACAGATGCTGGAGTCTCATTACAACCGATTTTCTAAGGAAGACGACACTTGATGTTGAAAATAACTGCCAACATATTCAAAATATCAGTATGTATATGTGTATGTGTGTTTATTAAAAC